CCCACCTCTTCTGCCCTGTCTGAGTGAGGCGCTGGTCTCTGCGTAACGGGCCTGATCCACTTGATACCCCTGCTGCTGTAGGACTCTCTGGTACAACTGGACCTCAGTGTCCGTCGGAGCACGTTGGCCTGTCAGAATAATGGCTTTTCCAGCACATCTGCACTTAGAATGATGAACCTGAGAGAAGGAGGAAAGAGAAACTGTTTTGCAATTACAGTTTTACTTGTATTCATTCTTGATGTTACTTCCTTCAAAACTTAAAAAATGCACAATAAACCTGATTGTATGTTACAAATGCTCCATGAAGTTCAAAACTGGGTTTAAACCGTCCACTGGTTTTGTCACATGTGAGGATCACAACAGCAGGGGTTAATCAGAAAGGCAGCCGAGCATTTCAAAAGTACCCATAATGCAGTCTAGCATGGTAATGGCCAGTGTGGGCCGTCAGGTAGGGAGGAGGGCTGAACCCTGTTTTCTCTGAGAACAGGACTAGATGACAGCAGACTTCAGACGCCTGGACTCATTCAGAGTTTCAGGTGACGGCTGCTGCACAGGACAATTTTAGGATACAGTTCAGTTTAGCAAGAGAGGAAAGCCTGACAACATGAGCCTTTTTAAAAGTCATATTAAACATAGCACATGATCATCCAGTTCCGTGTTGCATAACAGAATCAGAGGAACACAGCGTTATTTGGGCAGAGCTTCAGCATGGAGTGTGTGACTGAGGAAGGGAGGGGAGCCATGCTCCTTCAGCATGGATGATACTGTTCCCCTTTCTTTTCTCTCTGCATGTGTTCATCTTTTTCTGCCGTCATGCTGTGCTGTTCTCTCTCGCTCTCTCTCAGTGGTCCAGTCCTCCTCTGCTTGTAAATGTTTCCATCTGGGAGCTCAGCCACTTTAATGAAAGGGTCCTAAATGGCCAAAGTCAACCCCTGCAACCCATTATTCTCTCTTTACTATTGTATAGTACATAGGTTAGGGATTTCAATAATAAAACTATAAACATCTTTGACAAACTCTTATTAGAGGATATAGTACAGTATACTCAACAACAACAACAATATAATGATATTATTATTATTATTATTATTATTAGTTATTATTATTAACAACACTGGGGTTAGTTGTACATTAGTTTTAGTTGTACATTAAGTAACATTTATTTCTAATTATATTTAAACATTATTTTTTACATATAATAATATTAATATTAGCAACAACAATGCATATTTTAATTTTGTTATTATTATATATAATAATTATTTATGATGTATATAACCCCTTTATATCATCATCATCATCAACAACATCATTAATAATTAAATAAAAGGCTTAGATATACATTTATACAGTAATATATTTATTTCTAATTTAAAGGGGTCATATGACGTTGCTAAAAATAACATTATGCTGTGTATTTGGTGAGCGTGAAAAGACAAAAACAATAAAACCCATTATAAACGAGGCATTTGTTGCATCCAGTGGGGACATAATTACTGATTATAATGACTTATACTGTCTTTTTACGCGTTGCGTTGCATATCGCGCCGCGTAAACATAAAACCATGTCTGCATTTGTGATCGGAGAAATGACAAACAACAAGCGCTACTCTACACTGCTCAAAACTCGCGTTTGAATCGTCAGTGGCAAATTCTTTAAATATAAAAAACGTACTTACAGGCTGTGAGTCAGAAGCGCCAGACTGTCCTTGCAAAGTTGGAACTGCCCCACTTTATAGAAACAGCCTTTGAGCACAGACGCATTGTAGGCTAGGCTACTCTGCAGGTTCAGGAAACAGTACTCCATAAAATGCGCTGCACACATCTGAGTATTTGGGTTGAACTGTTCTGGAACAGTGTTTTAAATACAACTTAACCACTGATTTCTAGTTGTGTCCTCTTTTGGAAGGCCAAACAAAGCAGTTTCGCTTTCACAATGAAACACACAGTGGCCCTGTCCCAAGTGGAACACTTCATGTGCACTTGCGATCTTAAGGACTTACAATGGCCGCCGCGTGCGCGTGTCCGTTAAGTCCACGAGACCATAGGGTGTCCCAATCATCATTTTAGCATTCAGAAGGGTGCTCGAGAGTGCCCCCTTTGCGGCCGTATGCTCCCTCGATCCGCACTTCTGCCGAGCCCGCACTGGGGCAAGCTCCACAGCAGACTTCTACCCGACAGTCAAAGTGGCATTACGTCACGAAAGTACGGACTCAGAGGAAGACCGCGAGGGTTTAGGGTGCCATTTGGGACAGGGGCCTAGAGTGCCGCTATCCTGCATAGTTTAGCTCCAACACTGAAAAAAACCTCACCTGACCTGGTATTCATGTGTTTTATTATTATTATTATATGAAAACTAATACTTAAATATATTAGAAATATACTACTATATACATGCATAACTAACTCCTTTGTTTCATTGTTATTATTATTATTATTATTATTATTAATAATAATAATAATAATAATACACAGTAAATATAATAATTTTATTTCTAATTTTATTTTTGTATAACTACAGAAATGTACAAACATTTTATATCAACAACAGCAATAATAATAATAATAATAATTAATAATAATAATAATACATATTAGTAGTAGCAGTAAATATAATACTTTTATTTATTTATAATAAATATTAGAAGAATATTAGGAGATGTGTATTCAATTAAGCAATTAGATTTTCGCTTGAAAGCGAGATAAAAAAATTATAAAAATCTTACACTTACATTGAAGGATGGACTTAACTCATATCTAGATACTAGAATATCAGAGACTTTTAGCCATCTAACAAGTAACCATCGAACATAACCATCTATAACACCTTGGCAACTGCATATCACACAAGCGTCATGACGGCGAGTTTTGCACAAGCTAGCACCGCTAAAATCTAGTTTATAACTGTTCTCTTTTCTTTTCACCTACTAGAATTCCAACTTCATCATCAACTCAAAATAAATAAGATGCATCTCATTTCCAGTCTTACTTAGTTTCCCACTCTTTCTTCCCTACATCCCCCAGTCTGTCTCTCCTCGCATCTGCTCCCTTTCTCCTGCCCCTCTGTGAGACCTCAGGCTGCAGACACTAATCTAAAACATGCAATTACTGTACTACATTCATTTTACCCTCCGTGTCTGCGGCCCAAGACACAAACATCATTACTTCATTAAAGCGCTGCCTAAAACAGCCCAGCGCTCAAAGGAAGTAATAACAACAAATAAGAAACGTCTCATGAAGAAAGAGGGAAATAAAAAGGAAGGTGGGAGGGAGAGGGAAAAAAACAAACAAACAAAAAAAAAAAATAATAATAATATATATATATATATATAACCCTGAGCTGAGAGAGCACAATGATACATTAACTTTAATACGATCTGAAATTAAATCAGCTATACACAAAACACTAAATCCTCTCAGGGTAATCTTCCTTTAATTCCCACCACATAAAAACAGGAGATGAATATACACATAAATATTAATTTAGTCCTCTGGTGAAGGGATCTGTGGAAATGCAGTCAAATCACAGCTGAAAATGCTCTTTCATGAAAAAGCATCCTCTTTTGTTGCTAACTTGTAAATGATGAACAAGCAAAGGTCATTTTAAACTGTGGGAACCAGACATAAAAATCCAACCAAGTCTTGAATGCAAATGAGAGACATAGTAGATGGTGTTTGGCATGTGCAACTAAACTCCAAAAGTGTTTGGACTAAAAATAATGCTATCATCTTTAAAAGCCATCCTCCTAACACCGTCCCCAAAGGGTCATGACTTTTATGGCACACATGGTACAGAAAAACACACAAAGACATAGGCTATGTGCACATGCATGCAATACTGACAAGAGAAAAAAATGACATATTCTCTCTCACACACAAACACACATATACAAATGGGTCACAAGTGTTGTGTATAATACAACGAAACAAATCTAAGCATAACAACATCTGTACTCAGATTCAAACAACTCAATCCTCACATGCCCTCTGACCCAGTAAACACACAGATAAAGAACAGACCACCCTGACTGACATGCAGAAATCCTACACACAACCTTACCAGAAAGTAATGTGGTGGTACTGGTGATTGTATCAGATGGTATTTCCATGGTTAATGTTTGGTTGTGAAGGCTACCAAAACATTCAGTGCACTAGTCAGGCTAGTGTAAAATATCCAGAAGTTTTTGTGTGCTCAGGATAGCACTTAGGAGTTAGTGCCCATGCCAAAATACCATTATCATCTCATAAACTCTACTCTGTTTTCTTACGACAGCAATGTGGAAAGACAAGCCAAACAAAATTAACATCATTATTAAAGTCACCCTCTGCGCTCAGATACATCAGAGCAATGGCAAAATTAACTATAAAATTAACACAGACAAGTTTTTCTAACAATCAAGTGCAGAATGTAAAGACTTACATCAGAATAGAAAGTATCTGTGAATTCAGAACAATTATGCCTTTAAAATCTGACTGAATGAGTCACATTTAGAGCAGCTGTACTCTTCAATATGACTTTTTTATATATTATATGTGATTCTGTAAAAATGAGCAAACTTGCTATGCATCCAGTTAAACTATATTACTACTACTACTACTACTACTACTAATAAAAATAACATAAAACATGTAAACATATCTATTAAAAATATAAATGTAAATACATTTAATAATGTCTTCTGACTTAAGAATGTCCTGTGTCATAATTTATACACACACCTTTATTATATTAATACATCTACTACTACTAATATATATGAATAAATTTACAAAATGTATACATTTATAATAAATAAAATACATTTAATGTA